AGATGGAAAATTTTTCCAGACAGAAAGTCAGTAACATAAGAAAGAAGAAAAGACGGGCAGTAAGCCTAATTGAATAATTATGGTACAACACAATAAAAATAGGTCTTTGGCGGTATAAAACATATACATTTTAAAACATAGTAACAATGAAATACTAAAAAAATGAAGGAAATTGACTTACATGTTTTTAAAAGATATATTATCTGGGAAAAGGGTGAAAGTCTCAATATTACATTTTAATAAGTAGAGAAAAGATTAGAATTTCTTAGGCAAATACTAAAGAAGAGTAAAAGAATATATAATCCCAAGGTAATAAAAAAAAGGAGGAAATGGAATAATTATTTTTTTTAAATCAATCCAAAACAAATCCAGAAAAAAAGAACATGGAACAGGTGAGACAAATACATTACTCTTAATTTTTAAACATTCATATTGTTATTATCTGCCAATTCATTTTTTATAACAGGCATCAGCAAAATACACAGAAATATCTATCTCCCATTCACATACCTAACCTTTATAAATTTTACTTTCCACATTTATTTCCAGGGTCACTCAGTTTTCAAAGCCTTATTTCACCTTGTCTTTTCTAACGACAGATATGCTGCTGCTGCTGCTAAGTCGCATCAGTCGTGTCCGACTCTGTGCGACCCCATAGACGGCAGCCCACCAGGCTCCTCTGTCCCTGGGATTCCCCAGGCAAGAACACTGGAGTGGGTTGCCATTGCCTTCTCCAACAGATATGCTAACAAGCATTAAAAGATTCAAAAAGAAAACAAACAAAAAGAAACAAGAGGGGAAAAAACCCCAGAGAACTGGCTTACAAATGCTGCATTAATTCCACAATAAAACATTACTCTGCCGTTACTGATCTATGTAATATCACTAAGGGCACACTCGCCCTCTGCGACGGCCCGCACTCCGTCTGGGCAGTGTGCCGCTCTCTGAGTCTGAATAAATCCTCTTCTCACCTATCACCTTTTCTCTCACTGAATTCTTTACTCGATGAGGCATCAAGAAGCTGAGCTTCACCAGGTACCGTGGGGTTTGGCTGGGTTTGTGTCCCAGCCACGTGGGTTCAAGTCCCAAGCAGGGTTTTGGCTAGGTTCGAGTCCCACCCACATGAGTTGAGTCCCACACTGGGTTGTGGCTGGGTTCAAGTCCCAATCTGAGGTAAATGCTTTCACTTTTAAGATATGCTCTTTGTCTCTGTTTTCTCCAGATTACTGTGATGTATTTAGATTTGGGGGAAGAGGGTTGTTTTATGGATATTCTTCAGTCTGTGGCTTCATTTTGAAAGAGTCTAAGATTTAGAATACTTCTATGTGAAATATTTCTTCAAATACTGAATCTGTCTTACTCTTCTCCCTCTCCTTTGGCACTACAATTATGTGTACGTTAGGATTTTAACTATACTATATGTCTCACACATTTCCCACCCTTTTAGGGGGCATGTGGGGGCTTCTAAGGTGGCGCTAGTGGTAAAGAATCTGTCTGCCAATACAGGAGATGCTGGTTCAATCCCTGCGTGGGGAAAATTCCCTGGAGTAGGAAATGGCAACCTGCTTCAGTATTCTTATCCGCAAAATTCCATACTCTGCACTGAGTTCACACTCACTGGAGAAGGAAATGGCAACCCACTCCAGTATTCGTGTCTGAAAAATCCCATGGACAGAGAAGCCTGGCAGGCTACAGTCCATGGGGTTGCAAAGAGTCAGACATGACTGAGTACACAGGACAACCAAAATTAATATATTAAGAAGCTTAAAATGATCATCTCTCACTTATTTCACGAAAAGCATTACTCTAATATTTTTTAATTCCCTTGTTTATTCAGTGAAGGAAAATCCCAGGATTAAATGAAAACTTCTACACTAGTATCAATGTCATCAAGACGGAGGTGCAATGTATACCTCTCTCAGAGGATAATAAAGTAATCCTTTTACAGCCCCAAATACTTAACCAAACAAGATGTGAAACTCCAGAGCTTACAGTGAATTTCTATTTGCATTTTGCGAGTAGACATTTTAAATTAGGCAGTCTAAGCTCTTCCAAGGAAATCATTCTCAAAATTTAAAAACACCGATATTATACAGTCTGTCTAAGGAAATCAAAGAACCTTTTAATAATTAATTCCAGTTTTACAGATATAGAAATTATCAAGTAATCAGTGCCAGAGTTGTATAGTAGTGGACACCGAAGAGAGTCATCTCCAGCCTGGCGAGGTCGGAGTCATCTGGATGGACTCTTTCTACAAAGGCTCAGCCACCTGGTTCAGACAATGACAGTTCATGAGGCCAAGAGCCTACCTTCTCTCCACAAGCAACAGTGGCGGGACAGGAGCCGCAGCGAGAACTCATTCACCCACACACACTCTCTTCTCTACATGCGCTCCCTCATGCTCAGTGTCCCGCCCTCCCACCTGCCATCTCTTCCTCATCCTTCAGGTCTTACCAGCCACTTCCTCAGGACAGCTTGCCCTGCCCCTCCCAATCAAGTCAGGTTCCCTGGTGACAGGTTTTATAGTTCCATGCACTGTACTTCAAAGGACTGATCGCTCTAGTTTTTCAAAACAAGGTACATGACACAAGGCTGTGGGTACAAAAATGCAGCCAAGAGATATTTGTTGAATAAACAAATGTGAATTTATAATTCTCCCCAATTTTACAAAGAAACAACCTTTTAAAAACTAAGTTATTTTCATGAAATGCCATAACCTGGAAATGGCAGAGAACAGTTAAGACTTCAAGTGTTTGTGATTAATTCTCAGGCTCTAATGTCCACGTACAATAAAGAAGTGTTGTAGAAGTCAGATTTCTGTCAAATGAATATTATTTTGGTACTGACTTTTACTGTAAAAATTGAGACACTTCCTAAAGGAAAAAATGAGACACTAAATATAAACAAATCATATCTAGCAAGGCAATACACCTTTCAAAAATCACACTGAAGGGACAAACTATTACCTTTATCTAGTAATAAATGATCAGAGTATTATTGGTAACAGTACTATTTCACTAAACAAAACAAAAATGGTTGAAGTGAAATTGCAAGCAGAAAATGTAATCACTTGCCACTTTCTAACTGAAGCAGCAATTCTTAAAAGTTCTGGTATTGTGTCTAAGTTTTTTGCAGGACTTCAAACTGCCTTAACATTCCTAGCAATTACAATCAAAATTATTTTGTTTCTTTTCAATTTGCCACTAGCTTAAATTTACTGGCCTCTTTTTCACTCATCTTCAGCTACAAAATGTAACAGTAACTTGAGATAGATGGGAACACCATGGTCAAAGACTGAACTGACCAAAAACCGAACTGACCATGCAACCTCTGCCTGGCACTGGAGCCCAGCCTGCATCTGCCATACCAGGAAGTTGTTTCAGTTCCCAAGGATGACCAGCCAATTAACAGATGGTGCCAAAGCCAACACTTGTACTTACTGGCTTGTTTAACCAATGGCAGCTGTCCTCCCAAGGAGCTATTTCATATCAAAACAATGTTATAACTGGTAATGGGCTATTCTCACCAGAAACATAACCCTAACCCCAGAGACCCAGGTTTGCTAATTAAAAACATTAAGTAGGCACCAACAGCAAGACTTAGGGCCCAGGTTCTTAATGTTTGGGAAAGGATGCTTCTCTGATGCCCTCGTAATACCTGAGTGATTCTTTAAAGACATAATCAGCAAAGGAATTTCTATTAACTCAGAATACCTGTACTGGTAATTAAGGCTCTATACTTTTATTCGTGTAGCTTCTTTTCTCTTACATTTTTACATATTTCAATTGGCTATATAGAACATAACACAGAAACAACACCCATTTTAAGTAATAAACTAGATGATGTTTACAAACTTTATTATTTAAAAAAAAAGCAAGCTCAGTATCGTTTTTTCTTAACTTTAGGGTCTGACAGAGTGAGAAATATAAGCAAATAAAGCACCGTCCATTTAATGCTGCCTAATCTGATTCTTATTAAGATGACTTCACAAAAGAAAAAAGCACCCTAACTTTCCTGAACAGAACTTCCCACAGATTCAATATATGAGAGTTGGCCAGAGTGGTATCTAAAGTTTTGTCCGACCTCTCTGCGCTACGAAATATTACGTATCCCAAAGACTTACTTCTATTTATAAATGGATTAATACACGATTGAAATCACTTTCTTCCAGCAAAGTACTTAAAACCGAGTCCCCACTTTTTTTCTATATGTCACATTATTTCCATGACTTGTTATTGCCCCAATTCAAAACTCCTTCCCAGTCCCATAAGCGATTCATTTAACTCATGTTGGAATCTACCGACTAAAAAGCATCTGTGGATTAAAATGAAGGGAGGGGGACCGAGGCATTTCGATGTATTGAAATGTTCACCCGTGGATCCACAGATCCCTCACAATTTCAATTAAAATACCTACGAGTAACCGTTCGCCTGCATCACAACTGCCGCACCAACACCACCCGGCTGTGAGCTCCTAAGTATTTTGCAAACTTTGCAAAGGCGCACAGATTTCCAGGTTCTCCAAAGCCCTCATTCATTCCCATCCTCCCCTTGCCTAGTCGAAACGAAGTTCCGCGGCAGGAAGGCAATAATTTTAAGAGAACGAAGTTTGCCTCAGTCCTGCCCACTTGGACTCTGGAGGACGCAACTGAAACTTGCAAGGGAGACACGTCTCCCGGGGACCGAAACTTGCCGGGGGTGGGGGGAGGGGGGAGAGGCAGCGGGTCTCCCCTCCCCCGGAATCTGGCCGGCCCCCGCTCCTTCCAAGAGCCCCCTTCACCGATCGACAGGTCCCCCTCCCGCGCCGTCCCAGCCAGATCCTGCCCGCACGCCCCCCGGCGCCCCGCGCCCGGTGCCCGCAGACCTGCCAATCACACCCGCAGCACCCAGCCGTCGGGGCTCCAGGGGGCGGGGGCCCGGCGGCCGCGCGCGTTTCCGGAGCCGGCCCCCTCGAGGGCGGGGGCCGGGAGTGCCGCTCGTCCACCTCCTCCGGGGCCGCGAATGGCGGCGTCCGGCTCCCCGGGGCCACCTCCGAGTCCGTGCCCGGAGGAAGCCCGCCGAGCTCAGCCGCCACCAGCCCCTCGCAGTGGGAAAGGGGAAAATGAACTTACCTCCGAACGGTCCCGTCGACGGAGGCTGAGGGCGGGGGGTCCCGGGGGGCCGAGCAGGTCCCGGCGCAGCGGCGGCGGCTACCGCAGTGCCCTCCGCCCCATTGTTTCCCTTCCGAGAGGATCCCGGCAAAGCCGAGCCCGGGAACCAGGAAGTTCCCCGGCGCGACACCTCCTGCCGCCGCTATGGAAACGGCCCCCCGCCTCCCAGAGCGGCTTGCCCGGGACCCCGCCTCCGAGCCGCCGGCCCCGCCCGCCTCACGGGCCGCCGCCAACCGTCGCCGCTGCGGCCGCAGCCGCCGCCATCTTGGCGCGGCCCGGGCGGCCCCTTCCCGGCGGCACGTGCGCGCCGCTCCCGCGTGTTCCCGCCGGCCGCGGGGGCGCGCTGCCAGGGCCGCAGGGTGCTGGCGCCGCTCCCCGGGAAGCGCGGCCAGGAGCAGCCCCCGGGACCCCGAGGGAGGGAGGGAGAGAGAGAGGGCCCAGGGGGGACTGGAGAGCTAGGACCTGGAGCGGGGCTTCGAGTAATTGCACGAAAACGACAGGCTTCAGCTGGTGTCCACTGGCAGGTCGAGGAATGGCTGAGACCAGGGGTGAGGTCAGCAGAGCAGCGGCCGAGAGCCATGGGCTCAGGAGCCAGATTGCCTCGTGTTTCGTTTCTGGCTCTACAACCCACCAACTGTCAGAGCTTGGACACTTTAATTTTCTGTATGCCTCAGTTTCTTTATCTGTAAAGTGGCGGTTTAATACTTGCCACATAGGGTTGTTACCTGGAAGCAAGTGCATAGTATTGATACTTCAGTAAGTGCAGAATAACCATGCTTTCAGTAAAATGGCATTGCGTCTGACAAAAGTCACATTTCTTTTCCCAAGAACTTAATCTAAGTGCTCATCAGCACCACTTTAAATAGGCTACTGTGTAAGATCTCATTGCTGCTTGAAACTTATCAGATGCTCATCTTTTGTCCCATCTTTCTCTAGGTCAGCGTTCCTTTTTTAAGATCGTGGAAATTGTCAAGAGTTTTCGTCTCCAGAATCCTCCATCAAGAGGTTCCATAAAAAGATGAATGATGTAAACTTTCCAATACTGTAATTAGCTGACAGCTAAATGATTTATGCAATAGGAGCTAGCAGAGTTAGGGTGTGCTGATATCTAAAGGCTTCCTGTCCTTCATTCCAGGAACTAGAGTTACTAAAGCTGGCAACTCTGCATGGCTGCTATTATCTCTCTTTCCAGCTGCTGAAAACTGACACCAAGAAACTGGGTGCTCTGGGAGAGGAGGGGTGGAGGAGGAGGCAGGGTCACTGGGCTCTTCCAAAGGATTCTTTTTCAAGAACCAAGCCTACTGTTGGTTAGGTCTCAAACAGCCTTTAGGCTTCTCTCTATAGCTCACAAGTCTTGTGACCTTGTTTATACACTCTTTAAGAAAATACAATTGTGTACTTCCCTTTGGGTCTGCCTTCATATATTTAAGCCAGATTTGTGAAGACTGATGTTTAATGATTCTGATCCAACAAGAGCAGGACTTCCCTGGTAGTCCAGTAGTTAGGACTCAGTGCTTCCACTGCAGGGAGGACAGGTTTGATCCCTGCTTGGGGAACTAAGATCCCACATCCTTCAAGGAACAGCCAAAACCCATGAACAGTCTGATACATGAAATGAATTGGGGTAAAAATAGATCAGGAGTTGGCAGGACATGGGTAATTTTTTCAACACCTAAACTTCTCCACAAGTTATAGACTGCTCTCATTAGGATCCTGCAGACTGGGATCTTATGAATCTATAAAAGGCAGGAGCCCCGACTGCACCAGTAGATTGCTTCCCACGTGGTAGGCCCTCAATAAAAGTTTATTGAATTAAATCACCATTTTTGTGGTTGAGCTCTCATTTCAGGCAGCCTTGGGGACCACAGACTCACAGGAGATGTTACTCAAGGGACTTCCCTGAGAACTTCGTAAACGAGGACCTGGAGTCACCAGATAATGAGTTAATAGGATTTTGGATGAACAACCCCAGCCCCAGGCTCACTTGGCAAAATGAAATGGAAATTTCAGATATGTTTTTTTCCATAAATTTATATGGGTAATTTTTTTAAAACTTTAGACCTAATTCTGGGCAGCATTGACTCAATTTTACATTGCGATTATAGCATGATTAAAGTTCAGAAAAACCCACATTTTCTCCCAAGTCAAAGTATCACCAATGAATTGTGTCATCTAGGTATAAAACCTGTATTCATTCTTGAAAAGTGAAAGTGAAAGTCGCTCAGTCGTTTCCAACTCTTTGCGACCCCCTGGACTATACAGTCCATGGAATTCTCCAGGCCAGAATGGGTAGCCTTTCCCTTCTCCAGGGGATCTTCCCAAGGGGTCTCCTGCATTGCAGGTGGATTCTTTACCAACTGAGCTATGATAGGAAGGTATAACTTTAGGGACTTACCATAATTTTTTTAAATTAATCATCTTGGAGCTATTGTTAAACTGTAAACACAATTTTTTGTCTTTATATCCCCAGCATAGTGTTTAACACATAGTAGTCATGTAAATTGACTTATCTATGGCATATGATAAATACATAGAATTTGTGTCAATCATTAGCAAGGAAATAGAATCATATTTCCTCTAAATCAGGTATGGGCAAACTTGTTTTTAAAGGGGAAAGAGCAAACATGAGAACAGCCATACACAATATATAAAAGAATGAGTGTGCCTGTATTCCACTAGAAATTTATTATGAAAATAGGTGGATCTGACCCACAGGGATGTATTTTACCAACCCCTTAAATAATTATATCTGGACTATACTCACTCCAGTTTTACATTCATTCCAATGAAATGCCAGATATTAAAATACCCTTTAACTGAAGAAAGCATAAAAACTTGATATTCATAAATCACCAAAAAGTAGAAAAAAACATGGAGTAACAGTTTTATGTTACCAATTAAAATATTTCTCAAATAACAAAAAGTTTAGAGTTATGTCTCACATATTATGATGGAATAAGATAGATGGATATTTGCATTTCACTTTTGCAAAAGTTACGCTAGTGAAAAAAACTTAAAATGTTGCCAGAGGTAAAAGTATATGTTTAAATGCTCACAGGATGTCATAATAACCAAGACCAGAAGCACAATTTGTTGTGAGAACAGAAGAACATAGGACATAAAGGCAAAAAATCTCCAAAGCAAATCATACACCCTTCACTATCATCTTCAGAATATGGATGAAAGGGTGGGTTCCTAAAGTCTCCTGTAAAATGAGAATTTGAAATGTGAACCCAAGGCTAATGGATTCATTTAATTTTTTTAATAAAGGGAAGCAGATAGCTCCCTAGCGGGGGCAGTTTTTTGTTTTTAATAAAGCTATGGAAACATTATGGCAGAAAGTGAAGAAGAACTAAAGAGCTTCTTGATGAAAGTGATAGAGAAGAGTGAAAAAGTTGGCTTAAAACTCAGCATTCAGAAAACTAAGATAAAAAAAAAAGAAAACTAAGATTATGGCATCCGGTCCCATCACTTCCTGGCAAATAGATGAGGAAACAATGGAAACAGTAACAGACTTTATTTTCTTGGGCTCCAAAATCACTGCAGATGGTGACTGCAGCCATGAAATTAAAAGACACTTGTTCCTTGGAAGAAAAGCTATGAACAACCTAGACAGTGTATTAAAAAGCAGAGACATTACTTTACCAACAATGGTCTGTCTAGTCAAAGCTATGGTTTTGCCAGTAGTCATGTATGGATATGAGAGTTGGATTAAAAAGAAAGCTGAGCACCAAAGAATTGATGCTTTTGAACTGTGGTGTTGGAGAAGACTCTTGAGAGTCCTGTGGGCTGCAAGGAGATCCAACCAGTCCACCCTAAAGGAAATCAGTCCTTAATATTCATTGGAAGGACTGATGTTGAAGCTGAAACTGCAGTACTTTGGCCACCTGATGTGAAGAACTGACTCCTTGGAAAAGACTCTGATGCTGGGAAAGATTGAAGGTGGGAGGAGAAGCGATGACAGAGGATGAGATGGTTGGCATCACCAACTTGATGGACATGAGTTTGAGTAAGCTCTGAGAGTTGGTGACGGACAGGGAAGCCTGGCATGCTTTAGTCCGTGGGATCACAGAGTCGGAAACAGCTGAGCGACTGAACTGAACTGAAAGCTATGGAAAGCCTTGCAATGCACATTTTTGTGCTCACCAGCAGTAGTACTTTGTGAAATGTCATCAGAAGCCATCAGTGCTTTTCCATTGATTAGGAAAATAGCTCAAATGACACTTCATATAATTGTTACTCATTGTTGGAAACAACTTGGGCCAGTCAACACCTTTGTTCCATGTATAAGTGACAAAGCAATGGATAATCAACAACCATATCCACACTGCTTATATTGAAAACTTACCCTTTGGTTTAAAAGAGAAGTTACTGATTGCACAGCAAGGAAGGAGGGTCAATGGCATGACTGTGAACCCCAATAAAATTGTATGCAAGATGTTGTGTACAGTTTGTTCCTTATAACATTCTGGGGTTGTCTTATTAGTATACTTGGGTTTTTTCTGTCTCTGTATCATAAGAATGGACATGCTGTGAGACTAGAGAAGGGATCTGTCTTCCCTACTCTATCCCTTGGTCCAGATCAGTGTCTGAAATGCAGAATCAGTGCTCTATAAATAATTGTAGAAGGAATGAAGGAGGAGAAGGAGGGAAGAGGGAAGGAAACAAGGGAAGAAAGAATGGAGGAGGGAACAAAAGTAAACAAATATACATTTTTTCTGTATAATACTGTATATCAACTCTACTTAAATTTTAAAAATACATTTTTTTTCTTGGAAAAAAATTTCCTAACTTTTCTCATATGTTCAACAGGGTGTGTGACTCAAAAGAAAAAAAAAAGGTAAGAATGATTGGTTTACAACTACAGAGGCCACCTCATTATCTCCTCCCGTCTTTTGTTCGTAAGCCAACCTGATCCTGATTATATACCAGAAGGGTTATCGTGGTTTGCCAGAGACCTATAATAATGTCACAGCATTTGAAAAGCCTGTCCTTATATTTTTAAAGCTTTAGAGAATTTCTCCTGTCTGCTCAATTCAGAGTTTCCTTACTTCGGCTCTACATTTGACTACCTCTTAGATGTCAGTCATTCTATTTATTTGTTTTTTGCCTGTGTTCAAAAGTTCTAAGATATTGAAAAAAAAATTGAAGTACAATTTCAAGGCATTTTTGTCTCCATTGCAGGGCAATAAAACTTTTGTCTCTGTGTATATGATTTTTTAATTTACTTTTAAACTCTGTAAACATATATCTATATATGTTGTCTGAGAGTTGTTTTCAAAGATGACCCCACCCCTCAATGAGCCGTGCCTCCAACATCCACATCCTATCATATCATCCTCCTCTTGAATTTGGGCTGGGCCTGTGACTCACTTTTGATGAAAAGAATCAGGTAGAAGTGATGTTAGGTGATTTCTAAGGCTGGATCATAAGAAGTCTTTCTGCTTCCACCTGGGTCTCTGGAATATTTCTTTTTAGTGGGCTCTCTCCCAGAACTCAGCCATCATGCTGTAGGAAGCCCAAGCCAGAGAGGCCACACACAGGTGGCTTGAATGATAACCCTGGCTGAGCCTTTGTATCAACTGCTAGCCAGATGCCTGTGCCATCTTGGACATTCTACACAGTCAAACCTTCACTGTGCCTTTAGCCCCAACTGTGCAACCCCATGAGAAACCCCAAATGAGGCCAT